CGGTCGGCAGAAATACTGGCTTTCTGCGTGTTTCTCTGGGGCCTGCTGGACTGCGGATCGGCTCAAATCCTCGGGGTACGTTTCGGACGGTTTGTGTCCCCTTTGTGGGGAGCCTGACTCCATAGTCCACAGGCAGTTTCTGTGTTCGGACCCGACCGTCGAAGCAGCCCGCCGTGAGCATCTCTCAGACGAAGAGATGCTAGCGGCTTGTAACTGCCCGCCTGAAAAACTGCTGTTTTGGTCTCGGCTTATGGTGGCTCAGCCTGAGGCACCTCACCCTTGCCTCGACCTCGACCCCCTTCTCCAAGGGTCGAAGAGTTTTGTGAACGAACCGTCAACACCCGCATTGTTGTCGATGGTTCGGCTACTCAGCTTGCCTTTCGCGAGCTGAATCGTGCCACGTATGCTGCTGTTTTCTTCGATCCGTCGAGCGAGACCCCGTATGAGGTTCGCGCTCGACTTCTGGGAACGGTGTGGCCTGGCCTTCCTCAGACGGCCCAGTCGGGAGAACACCTCGGGGCTGCCACGCTCTCTTGCGTGGCCACAGGCCTTAGTGAGGCCCACTCGGACTGTCTTGGAGTTGTCAACCTAGCCAATGCGCGCCAGTCCGTACAGTTGGACCCTGGCCAGGTTTTCGCTGGCCTCAGACGGCGCGCTCTCCAGGAGCCAGGCCAGCGAAGCATCGCCTCTTTTGCTCACACGCCTGCGCACAGGTCGGACGAAGTGATAGCCGCGCTTCCCGCCCAGGAACGCAAAATCGCTCTTGGGAACCAGGACGCGGACCGACTGGCGAAGCATGCTTTGTCTCTTCACCCATCTTTGTCCGATGAGGAGCTTGAGCAATTAGATAAGGACGTGGCTCTACTGCGAAAGCTAGTTGCCATGTTCGGTGCTGTTTTGTCGCTTTTTCCCAAGTTACAGTTTATTCGGGACCCCACGGCTCCTCGGGTGAAAGCTCGGGCCCTCCGTGCCATTGAGTGGCATGACTGGCGTGTGCTGGACCCAGGGGACGATGAAACTCCCTCGCTCGCCAGGTGCTCGAAATGTTTTAAGACGGCGATTGGAGACAGCAGACCCATGGACGGCTGCAAGGGCCTGCCCACTGCTCTCCGCAGATTGCAAGGCGCCGAGAGCGAGCGGGGCCACCTCCTGTGCACGACTTTCATGCAGGATGACGAGTGTGCGCCTACTGTTTTCTGTTTCCGCTGTGGTGCCTTCACCAGCAAGCGGTGTTACCTCCTCGGCGGGATGTGCGGACCTCCTGGCCCCAGCGGGCGTGGTGCCCTGTCCCGCATCCGTCGAGGTCTCCCGCCCCATTACAGAAATCGGGGCACGGTCTCTGCAAGCGAGGGCACCACATGTCGTGCGTCGGCCAGGTATGTCCTGCTCAAAGCAGCTGAGCCTGGACCGTCCTCCTCCTCCTCCTCTCGCTCGGGCCTGATTTCGACACCTGGAATGTCGGCCCTGGCGGAGAGGATTCGGCAGAGAGAGGAGGCATCTCGTGCAGCAGGTTCGGCCTGAGGCCGTGGTTTTTGATGTTCTGCCCATGGGCCCTCGAGGGAAAATCCTCCCGTCGGGCGGGCGGCAGCGGTCGGAAGAGGCCTCCGTCGAGAGGCAGCGGTGCGCTTGGACCTCGGGTGGGGGGCCTTCGCCGCCGCGGCCGGACGCAGTTCGGGAGAAGATCGGTGCGTTTGGGCCCCGGGAGGGGCCCGGGGACAGATCTTCAGCTGCCGTGGTCTTAGCTCGCCCTGCTCCCAGAGTGTGTGTGGGGGTGGGGGCAGCAGGGACTGGAGCTTTGGTGGCTTCGCGCGTCGCGCCGCCGATTCGGGCCCACCCTGCGTCGGCGTGACGCGCCGAGCGCTCAAGCGTCAACGCTCCGAGTCCTTGCTAGCCTCCGGCCCCTCGAAGCGGAGCGACACGCTATCAGTTTGCAGGGCATGGCGTGTCGCAGGGGTCGGTGTCGCCGCCGCGACCCGCTGTAAGCAGAGGTTCCCGGCCGCAAGACGTGGGGGGGGGCTCGAGGACGGCAGGGCAGCAGCCGCGCAGGGGCCCCCGAGTGGCCGCACCCCTGCCACCGCGGACCCATGCGGTGCACGAGGGCGCGCCCCCCCTCCCTGTGATGAGAAGCGGAATCGCACTGCGACGCGAACGTGATGTAGGCGTGACACACATGTGATGCTGTTTCTGAATCGTCGCCTTCGCAGTCAAGCGCCCCAATATTGTGCGCCAGACTGTGTGTGTGTTCTTGTCTGTAGCTCTGTGTGCCCGGCTTGAGCACCGGCCCGAGGTTATGCCTGCGACATTGCCCTCCCCTCCGTTGGCGAGCACCCTGCCCGCGCCAGCTGCGGTGTGGGAGGGGGAGGGGGCGTAGTCTTCCGACGAGCGCTGACCTTTGGACTGAGCTTTCGAGGAACAGAACATGTTTTGAAGGTGGGCTTTCGGAGGTCCGCGCGTATTTCTTGGGTCGGCGCTGAGCGCCCCCCTGGCGGCGCCCAGGAAAGGCACGGCACTGAGCGAGGTAAGGACCGACCGAAAAGCGACGAACATGTGAGGGAGCGCAGGTCTGATCGGGGCGGGCATGTGCGGTTGAGGGGGGGCCTGGTGCGAGAGTTGCCGCGTGCAGCTGGTGTCGGCTCCGCCAGCGCGCGCTTTCCTCAGTACGTGGTGGCCGCCTCTGGCAACAGGAAGCACAGGGCAGGCCAGCGGCATACAGCTGGTTCCGTACCCCTCCCCTTGGCTATCCTCCCCTCTTGTCCACCCCGAGTGGAGCCCCGGGAGGCTTGGCAGGACGTGCCCGTGGCGTCCAGTGTCCCCAACAGCTGCTGATGACCCATCAGAGGCCTCCACGGGGCGTCCACCACGGTGCTTCCTCAAGGCCCCAGAGTCTAGTTGCGTAACCTCCAGTGTGCACAGCTCGGGGGTCCCAGCACTGCGTCTCGCCGAGGGTTTCGAGACTCCGAGGGAGGGGGAGCGAGTATCAATGATACACTGCCGCTGGGAGTGCTACTTCAGCAGTAACACGCTGATGGGTTCTCCTCGGCGGCGTGTCATGTCCAGGACGTGGCATTACCACGTGCGCGCCAGCAGGAGAAGGAGAAGCAATATGGCACTAGTAGGAGGAAGGATGAGAGCGCGATCCGCGACGGCGGCGCGATTACAAAGGCCAGAAGCGGGACCAGGAAGAGGAGGACGACGAGGATGAGGACGAAGAGGACAAATAGGAAGAGAAGGAGGAGGACGAGAGGACGAGGACAAGGAGACCGATGAGGAGGAGGACGACGAGGACGAGGACGAGGAGGAGGAGGAGGACGAGGACGAGCACGAGGGCGAGGACGAGGGCGAGGAGATTGAGGGGGACGATCTGCCACTGCTCTGCAGATCTCGCAGGGCTCCGTGCCTGCAGCGAGGCCCCCTCCCTCCACGAGCTTCCGGCGGCCCCTCAGCGCCTGCCCGAGCGAGCTGGTCATCGGTCCCGCTTCCGGCATCGGAGCGGCTGCCTTGCTGGCCACCATCAGCCAGTGGCGAAGCGTCCCGGCCCGCCCACATCAGGCGATCGCCAACATGGATCAAAGGGGGCGTGGATTAGCGACGGGTCCCGTTTCCACTGGGAATCGCGGATTTCCGCCGCCGAACGGGGCGGCACCGGCCGCATTTTGAGGAGGGCACCTCCCCGACTCACGACATGTTCTTAGAACATGTCTGGCCGAGACAGTTTTGTTTTAACCGCATCGGGCTTATGTTCTAAGAACATTGTGTTTGTTCTGGTAGGGCCTATAGGAATGGCGGGACGGCCGGCCCCTGCTCAACAACAGCGTGCAGGTGGCCTTTCCTACTCTCCCTGCTCTCCCTGCTCTCCCTTCCCAGACCCCCTCGAGTCGCGACAAAACTCACGACGGGAGGTTTTTCGCTATGTTCGGCCTCTGGGGGCCCTTACTGCTCCCTATCTCCCTCCTCATCCCGAAGAAGACAAAAGGGACAAACATAAACTTTCGACGGTCCGCGCGGATTTCTTGGATTCGCGCTGGACCCCTGCCTGGCGCGCTCCGCGCGCCAGGGGCGGCGCCGGAGGCGCCGCCAGGGGGGCCTAGCGCAGATCCAAGAAGAAATTGGCGCGGAGCACCACAAGGTTCTGTGTACGCCGTTTTTTCGTCCTCTATTCTGGCCCTCCTCCTTCCGCCTCTCCCTCCTTCTCTCTCCCTCAGTGCTCCTCCCTCCCTCAGTGCTCCTCCCCTCCTCCTCCTGGAGCGTGGGCTCGTGGCGCGGGCTCCGGGGGCTCGACGCCCTGCGCGGGCACGGTCGCGTCGCGGTCGCTGCGGGACTGCAGCAGGCGATCGGGTCAGCGGGTCGATGTCGAGCGCCCGGGCGGATCGGTTCCCTGAGTTTCGGGGCCCAAGAGTCGGGTTGACCCACAAGGGGGTCCAGCGACAAGAGGGTGGTGTTAAGTCGGGCGTGTCCCTCTACAGGAGGAATATCCAAAAATAGTTAAACAATAGTCTGGGGACGCTTTTTGGGCTTCTTTTTTAGAAAAATACTGTTGGGTTTGTTTGTTGTGTATTTTAATGTGTCGTCCAAAATCCGCCTGTAGGGGGACATGCCCGACCTAAGGGTGGTGCAATAGATTTGGTACAATAGATTTCGCTGGATCCTGCAGCATCTTGCAGGATCCTGCAAGGCCTGACTGACCCGGGTCTGGATTCACCCTTGTCAGAAGATCCCCGAAGTTTACGCGTCTGGTCGGGGCGCCTCCGTTTCGCAACCATTGGCGTTAATCGGTAGTTCACATGTGCCGCCGCCCTTTGGCGAGTGGTGCCGCCAGGTGAGTTGTGCACGTGCTCCCATCCCACTCGCCTTCGGAGCCCCTTGCTGGGATCGAGGGTCATCCATGAGATGAGGCCAGCGGAGGTTATCGTCAGGAGGAGGTGAAGGAGGCGATGATGTCCATGCTTGCGTCTCATATTCCTCCTTCTCCTCCGCGTCCGCCCGCCAGCCCCGCTCAGGAGCCACAAGCTGAAAGGATTGGTCGAAGTAGTGATTTGCATCGGGCATTGATTGTGCTTTCACTTACCCACACTATTGGATTCAATCCGTTGTACAATATCATTCTGCGCAGTCTGGGGCAATGGCAAGAGCCATCGATGCGCCTGTTTTTACCTCGAGGAGACGCCGATTGCCTCCCCATCGCGCAATCACAGTGTCTATTGCCTGCTCGTGACGGTGGGGTAGTCACGGCAAGGCTTGTGCCAAGGCAAGGTTTGTGTCACGCTTGGTTGTATCGAAGACGCCTACGGCGAATCACCGCCACCTCCTGCTTTTCGGAAGCGCCTAATTATGTGGCCCAACGTTGCGGCCAGAGCTTGGCTAAGCTACCGGACTACGTGACCCCCCAGCCGTTGTGAAAACCCTGCGTAGGGGCAAAGAAGACGATGAGGATAGGGAGGAAAGGGGAGGGGGAGCAGCAGGCATCTTAGGAGCCTCTTGGGGCACTCTTGGGGCCTCCTGGGAGCTTTCTGGGGGCCTCTTGGAGGCATCTTGGGGGCTTCCTTGAGCCTCTTGACGGCCTTTGGAAGCTCCTGAGGAGGCTCTCTGGCAGTCTGAGGGCGTTCCTGGCCGTCTGAAGCCGTCTGATGGACGCCGTCTTGGGGGCCTCTCTGGGCTGACTTGGGGACTTCTTGGGCCGGTTCAGGGCCGTCTTGGAGATCATCTTGGGCATTTTGGAGGTCTGCTGGGCCGTCTTGGGGCCCTCTTGAGGCCGTTTTGGGGACCTCTTTGGCCGTCAGGGGGCCATCTCGGAGGCCTCTTGGGCGCTCTTGGAGCCACCTTGGTGGCCTATGGAGCCGCCAAACACCTAATGCATGATGTTGGCCTCTTTGGGGCATCCTGTAGTTCCTCTTGGAGGCCTCTTGGGCCATCTTTGAGGTCTTGGCGGCCATCTTGGGGCCGTCTGAGCGTGAAGACCGACGACCTGGGAAGTTCACGGGTCCCCGCGGAGGCATTTTCTTGGACGTTGAGGTTTTCTATTGTTTTTTCCACGTCTTGCGGCGTCTTTGCGCGTTCTTCCGGGTGGCCGGCGGATGAGGCCAAAGGCCCCTGGTGAATTGTAAAATTCAAGGTCAAGCCCGTACGCAGGAAGGCGAGCCCATGAAGGGCGCAGGAGGTCAGGCGGTGGCAATTGGCAGCGTTCCATACACGCGCCCGCGCCACGATCCAAGGAAGCATCTCGTGCGCCTCAAAAGGGGGGGGGACTCATTCACATGGCGTGCTCATTGAGAACGGCAGCAACAAGTCGGAAATTCCGTGGCTCGCCGTTGGAAGACATTTGAAGATCAAGAACGCCGTTGAGAGCCGATCACACGGCCGAAAGCTTCCAGTCTGCTTGTCCACGTGAGTCTCGGTCGGCATGCTGCGCGATGACCACGCGGTGACCAAGTCATAACCCTCGTGATGCACCTCGTCTCCGGCAGCTGCTGAACGTACAGTGGAGACCCATGCCAAGAAAGGCCCTGCTTGCCTCCAGGGTGCCCTGGGTTTCTTGGGCTTCGATGGTTTTGCAATGGGAAACGTGACGCTCCCACACCAGAGCTCAATGAAAGTCCTGGGGTTTTAGGGCTGGGTTTTGTGTGGAAGGTTTCTTGTGGGCGGGCCCTTATTATATCTTGCAAACGACCACGATTGGTGAACGCACTGTTCTGCCGATGTTCGAATGCCAGCACGCGCGACGAAGTTGCGTGCACGCTCGTGCCAAACATGCAGTGCATCATGGCACGGTGCATCCCAAGCAACGTCCGCAGGTGGTCCAACGATTTGTCGTACAAGGCGACGAATTTTAATCCACATTATTTTCAAGTCTTCCAAATATATCGGGCGATGTTCTGCTGCAAGACACGCCACCGTCGCTACGAAAGAAAAGAACAATTTCAAACTGTGTGTGATGGAGGCTTGCTTGTCGCACAGAATACGGCGATTTGCATAAAATGCCATGAATGCACCTTGCATGTGGTATTTCAGATCCAGAGTTCCGGAGTCAGCTCCCCCCTTTGGACAGCCTTCAACCCAACCACTTATGAGCAGAATCTCTGTTGATCAAGTCTATTGTCAACCCTTCCAGCGTGCGGATCGTGGAGCTTGTGCCGTAGGGGTAAATATTTTGGTCGATATGGCATTCAGATCAAGCCCAACCTTCAGCAGTTCTGACACGAGCGTTTCAAGTACGAAGCTGATCCCTCTTCCCGAATAAGCGGATAGAAGCAAGTCGTCCGCGAAGCGCAACTTCGTGAAATGCTCTCCGCCATCGCCAAGATCTTTTCCGAGATGTCGAACTGTCTGTTGCCAGCGCGGCATTGCCTGCCCCATCGCGGACGTGAACAGCTTCGCACTCAGTACAGACTCTTGGCGGACGCCGGCGGAAATCGTAAATTCATCACCGTAGGTGCTTTCTCCCACAGGAGCACACACACACACGTTTCATCCGCATAGAGCTGTTGAATGAGCCATACCATGTGTTCGGACACCCCATGACCACGGAGTGCCTGCCATAGTGGATTACATGCCATGTTGTCAAACGCTTTCCGTACATCCAAATAGATGGTCTAATTTGGTATTATTACGGCAAGCGTTTTCTTGAAAGACAATGTTGGTAGTCACCATGTGCTCCTCGAGGCGGAAACCATGTTGTTCTTCAGGTTGCGCATGCTCCAGGACACCTTCAATCTGGCCCAAAACCAGGCAGGATAACAATTTGAAGAACAGCCGCAAACATGCAATAGGCCTGAAATCCGAAATTGTCTTGGCACTGGCTATCTTCTCCAGCATCTTGAAAATGTTGCGCTTCCACCCTTCTGCGACGATGCCGCGCGCGAGCACCTGGCTTCACAACCTCAAGACAGAACTGCGGAAAAGCAGCAGACTATCCATGATGCAAGAGTTCTGCGACGAGACCATATTGATCTGCAGCCTTTTTGTCTTCATCCGGCAAATGTCGATGCCCAGCTCGTCCTCGTCAAAACTAGGATCGCTAGTGGCGGGGCTCGCCGGTGGGCGCTGGTATGTGCCGCTGGACCAAACACTGCCTTACGTCCAGCACGCCGTGCACCCTTGTGGCAAGCTAACATGGGAGCGGCGGATCGAAGACGCCTACGGCGAATCACCGCCGCCCACTGCCTGTTAGGATACGCCTATGTGGCCAAACGTTTGAGCAAAGTTTGGCCAAGCTATTGGACCATGCATTCCCCAGCCGTTGTGGAGGCCCTTCAGAGAACACATGAGGGAGGAAGAGGAGGAAGAGGAGAGGGATAAGGAGACCTCTTGGGAGCTTCTTGGGTCACTCTTAGCTGAGAGCCTCCTGAGAGCCTCCTGGCGGCCTCTTGGAGGCCTCTTTGGGACCTCCTTGGGGGCTTCTTGGGCCTCTTGGGGGCCTTCGGGGGCTTCCTGGGCCTCTTCGGGGCCTGCGGGGGCTTCTTGGTGGCTTCTTTGGCAGTCTTAGGACGTTCCTGGCCCGTCTGACGCCGTCGGAGGCCGTCTTTGGAGCCTCACGGTCGTCTTGAAGGCCATGTTGGGCATTTTGGAGGTCTAACCCAGGGGAGCCATTAAGAACCCTCCCCCTTCCGGTGAACCGATAACGCATCTAGCACCCAGAGGTGTTATTTGGGCATCCTGAGGAAGAGAGGAGGAGGAGGAGGAGGAAGAGGAGGAGGAGGGGAATCATTATTTAGTTTTGCTTGTTGGTGCGGTGCTAGCGATAACGCTCGGCTAAATCCTCCCCCGCGACTTGTTTATTTTCGTTTCGGTGCTACTGATAACCCAGGGGGGGATCTTAATGGCTTCCCTAGGTTATTGGGCGTCTCAGGGATCTTTGGGGGCCGTCTTCGGAGAATATTGGGCCGTTCTGGGGCCACCTTGGAGGCCTCTTGGGGGATCTTGGGGTAATCTTGAAGTCCTCCGTCGGAAGGCCGTTTTGAAGCAAATGTTTAGATCTTTCAGAAACCTAAGAAAAATCGTTGATCCGTAAGGGCTTCGCCCCATGCCGTCGGCCCCTTGTCTCGGATAATGGGAGATGCAAAAGCTAAATCATGAGGTCTGGGCGTCGCCGTGAAGCAGTGTCGGGACCTGTTTGCTTTTCGACCCTGACCCTACGGATCTGCGTCACGGGTGCCACCGAATTTCGGAGATGCGGCAAATCCCATGTGTTTTTGGACCCTGACCCTACGGATCTGCGTGAGGGGTGCCGCCGAATTCCGGAGATGTGGCAAATCTCTTGTGTTTTTGGACCTTGACCCTGCCGATCTGCATGAGGGGTGCCGCCGAATTTTAGAAATGTGGCAAATCCCCGGTGTTTTTGGACCCTGACCCTGCCGATCTGCATGAGGGGTGCCACCGAATTTAGAAATGTGGCAAATCCCCGCTGTTTTTGGACCCTGACCCCGCCGATCTGCACGAGGGGTGCGCCGAATTTAGAAATGTGGCAAATCCCTTGTGTTTGTGGACCCTGACCCCGCCGATCTGGGTGAGGGGTGCCACCGAATTTCAGAAATGTGGCAAATCCATTTTGTTTTTGGACCCTGACTCCGCCGATCTGCGTGAGGGGTGCCACTGGATTTGAGAAATGTGGCAAATCCTTTGTGTTTGTGGGCCCTGACCCCGCCAATCTGTGTAAGGGATGCCACCGAATTTCAGAAATGTGGCAAATCCCGTGTGTTTTTGGACCCTGACTCCGCCGATCTGGGTGAGGGGTGCCACTGGATTTGAGAAATGTGGCAAATACTTTGTGTTTGTGGACCCTGACCCCGCCAATCTGCGTAAGGGATGCCACCGAATTTCAGAAATGTAGCAACTCCCGTGTGTTTTTGGACCCTGACCCCGCCGTTCTGCGTGAGGGGTGCCACCGAATTTCAGAAATGTGGCAAATCCTTTGTGTTTTTAGACCCTGACTCCGCCGATCTGCGTAAGGGGTGTCACCGGATTTCGCAAATGTGGCAAATCCTTTGTGTTTTCTGACCCTGATCCCGCCGATCTGCGTGAGGGGTGTCAATTCTCACCCACCCTAGCAATTCAGA